GGCAGGCATATAGTGTATCCCTTTGGTTGGTTGATGATGTATGGAGGGGATTGTAACCATGGCAATGAAACGATATACAACAGGATGAATGTAAAACTAATGTTCTCCCATGTAAACTATCACATAATTCACAATAAAACATTAAAAACAAAAGAACTGTTCTGATAAATGGTGTCCTAAAGACACGCCCCTAATAACTGAGTAAAGAAAGAATGGCCTCATAGCAAATGAGAAAGAAAGCCAATATGGTGTCTTCACTATTCTAACTGCCCACAGGACTGATCGGGCAGTACGTGCATCCCTCATCTTTTCAAAGTTCACTTTAAGCCACTTTGCTGAAAGACCTACCTTTGTAGTTAAGTTTTACAAACACATGTTAACCAAAAGAAACATGAAGAGGTTTTTACTTTGAATAGCATTCAGCATTTGTTTCGTCGTGCTGTGAGCCTTTACAGAGGCAGTGGGTACCTGGAGCAGTGAGAGTGGTGCCCCACGCGCCTTTCCAGGAACTACACTCAGCATCTCCACGGCAGGCTGCCACCGCTTTGACTGTGTCTGTGAACACGGTCTATGAGTGGGATTTTAGGTCTGCCGTGCTATTTGGTATGAGTTGGTAGGTCGCCATCTGGGCCGGGGAATGCTCTACAGGATTCCCCACATAAACGAGTGGTAACTGCTTCTTCGCTTTACAACATTTCGGCTTATAAAAGGCTTCTTATTCTAGGCAAGGCTCTACTTTCAGATAGCAGGGGAAACCTGCATGAGCTGAATGCTAATACGTTATATTTTAGTGTTTGCGCAGTGCCGTTAAAATGACAGATGTGGTAGAAGGAGAAATAACATTACTGGGGTTTGGGATGTGGAAGAAGGAGAAGAGAGGGAGGAGGCGAGCCCTAGCTGAGTCACACACAGGACGGGAAGGAGCCCGTGTTTGGCGCAGGCAGGGTATAAAGTTTGGAACGCCATCAGGACAGCTGCTGAGACAAACACGGGGTCTGGACATAGAGTACTAGCTACAAAAGCTGAAGGCCTGGGAAGCGCATGTGCCGGTCCGATGAACAGAATGCTGAGTGCCATATAAATGTCCAGGAGGTCTGTAAATCCCTACAGAGTGACACCGTGGCAAAGCCTATGCCGAGAGCTGTGAAACTGCTACAAGTCACTGAAAGATACATTCTGTTCTCTCACAATCTAGGTCGTTAGGATGCTCCTAAGTGCAGCCCCGCAGTGATGCCACCGTCAGCCTCCAGAGTCCCGATCAATGTGAACAATTCAAGCCCGAGACCAAAAAAGTTCAGAAAGCACTCCCAAGAAACAATTTAATCCATTAATTTATTGACTCATTCAACAAATATTTATTGAGTGTCTGGTAGGTGGCAGGCCCTGAGTTAGACACTAGGGGAATAATTAGGGACGAGATCACACTGTCTGGCTAGAAAGGAAAATATGAGTTTCCCGGAGTAGTTACACTCGAAGGTAAACATGGTGCAGAGGGGTCTTCGGGGTGTGAGAGAAGGGTGTTGGGAGGCCTCTCTCAGGAAGTGTCCACATGGTTTCATGGGGGGCAGTTCCCAGGGGTCAGCTGAGAAGGGTGGCAGAGAGGCAGGCAACGATTTGGTCTCTGGGGTTTGGTATCCCTGCAGACACAAGATTGGTGGCTAGAAGTGTGACACCGAGGGCAGAAGTTGGGCTAGAAAACAGCAGATGGAATGGAGAAACACTCTGGACGTAGCGAGGAGCCCCGGTGGCATAGTGGGTTATGTGTTGGGCTACTAACCACAAGGTCAGCAGTTCAAATTCACCAGTAGCTCCTCAGGAGAAAAGAGGAGGCTGTCTGATCCTATAGATTTATAGTCTTGGAATCCCCGTGTTGTTGTTGCTAAGTTCTGTGGAGTTGACTCCGAATCACAGCTGCCCTACATAGGGTTTCCGAGGGTCACTATGGGTTAGAGTTGACTCCATGGCAGTGGGCTCTGTGGGCTCTGGAGGTAGTGTGGCCAGGGAGGGTGACCAAGTGCTCTAGTGTGAGCAGCTGCCCGGAAGGTGAAGCCACACACTGAGAGGACAGGCAGGAAGACTGCTTCCACCAGACGCACTTGGTACCTAGCCGCCCTCCAAAGAGACCTGGTGGTGGTGCAAGGGGCTAAGAGTAGGGCTGCTCACCAAATGGATAGCAGTTCAAATCCACCAGCTGCTCCTGGGGAGAGGATGAGTCTAGTCTGTCTGTTCTCGTAACAACTGACAGTCTGGGAAACCCTTGGGAGCAGCTCTAGGGTAGCAATCGACTCTGCAGCCGTGAGTGGAGTTTGTGTTCTCAGCCTTCTTACCAGGAGTGCCCAGAGAGGCAGTCAGCATGCCAGCTGACAATGGGTGGGGCTTTAAGAGCCACTAGGAGGACAAATATTCACACATTCTGCAGCTGAGGACTGGGTGGTTCGCGGCTGACTGACAGACTCTCTCAGCCATTCCACACGGGACACCTACTGTATGCCAGGCCCTGCTCTAAGCGCTGGGGAGGGAGCAGTAAAAGGAAACCCTGCCCTCAAGGAAGAAGCCCAGGTGATGCTGTAGAATAAGCACTGGGCAGTTAACCGCAGTCAAGTTCAGCAGTTCAAACCCATCAGCCACTCCGTGGGAGAACTATGAGGCTCTATAGCCTTGGAAACCCTGCACAAGGTCACTATGAGTTAGAATGGTCCACGAGCTCTAGTTGGGGCTTCTGTGCGGATCTCTGAGGCCAGGCTCAACTACGGTCCACTCCTTCCCAAGGCTGGCTGGTCAACCTTCCTGGGCTCCTGGAGTCGGGCCACAGGGCACAGAGTTGAAATACCTGGTTCCTGAGTCCCAAAACCTTCCTCCAATTTCTCAAGCTAGCACGAGCTGATGTTTCTTTGCAACCAACACATCTTGGCGCAGTCCGTGAATGATTCTGGGCCAGGCTGGGTTGCAGCCTGAAGCACACAGACAGTTAAAGTACACCAACTCCCTGCAACGGTGTGGCTGTCAGTAAACGCTACTGACCTGAGCCCTTCCTGTAAGTCTCAGCTGCAGGACTACTTTCACCTATGGCTTCAGCAGGTACAGAACACAGGTGGAGTGCTCTGGGCCCCTCCCTGCTTTTGAAATCAATTGTTAGCTTTCTCAAGCTACCCTCTTCACACCTGGAAGGAAGACATACCTGGGAGGCAGGAAACAGCAATCTATGTGCCATACAGATGTATTTTGCGAGACTTTCATAATTGTAGAAAACATCACAAATCATTTGCTTTTACCATCTGAAATTCAAGCTGGAAACTTTTGTTCTCTAGCCAAAAAGCATCATCATGTCTTAGAGTATTATCAATCTAAGAATAATGCTTATGGTCTAACTGCAGTGAAAAAAAAAAAAGCCGATCCATGAACAAGGTCTGCTCAGACAAAGAGCAATGTTGATGTGATGGGGGGTGGGGGGAAAGAAATGGTCTCTTCATTTCCTATGGGAAATTAGGAGGGAAAATAATCGCAGAAAAAGAAACTCAGTAACTTGCTCAAGTGGCCGCCAAATTCAGAAGTATCATCAGGAGGAAACGCAGGCAGAAATGACACCACTACATAGACCAGATAGAGTTCCTAGCTGGAAAACAGTTCTTTTCTGAGTCCTGCTCCAGGGTGGCAGGAGCGGCTGCAGCTCCCAATGGACAGAACCCCTCTGGGTAGGAGGTACAAATAGAAAACTTTAATCTTTGGAAATAGAAAGTTGTATTTCTCAAAGCCCACGCTGCCCTTTCTCTGCAAATTCCTTCTCACCAAGTTGGTGTGAAAATGGCATGGGTGGGAGGAAAAATTCTCGATTACCATCTTACACGAGGAACAGCACAGCCCGGGCATCGAAGGCTCAAGGTTTTGTGAAGGAGCCTCCTTGTCACCCTCAGTCAGAGCCTTTGGAGAACCCTCGTTGGACATGAACTCTTGCAGAAAAATGAAAAGTCTTGAAAATTTGGAACTAAGAGCTGGATGAGCTCCTAAAACAGCAAGTTCCCGGCCAGCCCCGCGTAAAGCTACAGTGACACCAGAGACGTGTGCCAACACCATGAGGTGAGACACCCACGCAGAAGTTACCTCAGAAAGGGGTGGTGCTGGTGGAGAGGCAAGAGGATGAGGGATCACAAACCACCAAAATCAGACCAGAAAAGAAAACTGTCACCTTCTACTTCACAGGTGAGACATTAAGGCGCCACTGGAGAGGAAAAGGAACATGACCAAAAACTCACAACCAGCCCCCAGCAGGAACCCATGCGGACGGACATGAATCAGAAGACAAGGACGGGTGCACAGAGACTGGTGTCTGTTTTGCTTTGTTAAACTAGCTCCAGGAACACCAATGCTGGACAGAGAATTACCAAAAAGGGCACCAACAGTGGGTGGGAAGGGGAGGGTGGAGGATGGAGGGCATCTGGTTTCCTCAGTCGACAGAGGAAGACATCCCGGTGACTCTCCTAATTTTCCCACGTGAGTCTCTCCAGGACTAAGCTGGGACTCGGGTACAGAGAAGCGACAGGACTGCTGGGCTCAAGCACTTGACATCCTAGCCCACTATTCCAAAACAAAAATTTGTAAGCTAGCATCTCTGAATGTCTAACAAGCATTACTTAACTGTGAAACTCTTCAATCCCTTTAAAAGATCAAGCAACCCATACTGAGTTGTAACCAAAGAGGCTGCCTATTGGCCTGTGACTACAACCCTAAAGTAAAACTTGGTCGGGGGTCACTGATTGCCAGTGTGTGGGAAGGGTCACCCCACAGAACCGCCCACTTCTTCTCTGGGGTGCGGGCAGCATCGGACACCACATGCCGAGGTCATCACACAGATTTGGGTTTCTGCATTTACAAAGGCATCACGTAGATTAAGTAAAGCCAATCTCCACACCAAGTCAACGCCTGCGTTTTAGAGAAACTCTTCCCAGAACCTACCAACTCACTAGACCCAAGGCCCGCTGGGGAAGGGGAATGCACGGGCTTACCTGGAACATCAATCAATCTCTTGTAGACATTCAAGAACGCTGCCTCAGCCTCTTTGCTTCTTTTACTCAGTGCATCAATCTGAAAGGGAAGGAAAGAAAGAAAAGAAAGGGGGGGAAAAAAACGAAAGAGCTCAAAATTTGTCAAGAAGTCATTTAAAAATCATTATACATCAAGCAAGTTTCCACAGCAAATGGAAGTCTGATTTCTCCACATAGTAGACACTGGGCCATCAGGCCTTCAGCCTCTTAGAGTAAATGCCTGCCAACAAATACCTGGAGACCAGGGCTCTGGTAGCAGCAGCAAAGCTGAGATGAGGAAGCCACTCAAAACGGGGAAGTGAGCATCGTCTTACGGCTTGCCTGAGTCTACGAGTTTTCCACAGAAACAAAGTGGTCTGCTGGGTTGTTTGCTGTCTTGATCCCTTTTTCTTACAGTATCGACTAAAAGCTACTATATATATGCCGGAGTCCCGGGGTGGCCCAAATGGCTAAACCTAGCAGTCAGAAGGCCGGAGGTTGGAACCTATCCAGGCACCTCAGAAATATACCAACAGACCACAATGGTTTGAAAACCCTACAGAACACACGTGAGTGGGTCACCGCATAAAAGGGGAAAATCATGTTCAAATGTCCAGGGCAATATCTAAATTTAGGAGGAAGAAGGGGCTCATAGCTCTTGAAGAATTTTTTCAAACTCAAGGACTTCCTGGATCTTCTTCCTAAGCACATGCACACATGTGCACACACATGGCACTGTGGGTTCTTATGTTAGGACACTCACATGACAGTCTGAGTGTCTCTGTGTGATCCAGGTCAAGAACTCATGAATGGAACCATGGAGCTGTCTTCTTTGGTGGGACCAAAGGCACATGTGGGCCAGCTGTGATAACAGACTAAAAAAGTCAATGGGGTCAAATCCTGGAGGACTGCTGGGGCCAGCCTGACAAGGACAACCACTGGCATCTGACAGTGGGACCCCTGGAGGGGAGGGAGATGGGATTCATCAGTGAGGGGCCAGAAAGGAGGAAGAATGTTCAGAGGTGGTTGTCCTCATCCAGAGGAAAAGGGGGCTTGGACTAGGGCAGTGGCCATCGGGATTGGACAAAAGAGGCCAATCAGTGAGGTTGGCTCAAGCTGACTTATGGGAGGCACAAAGGAACAAGAGTGTCAAATATAGCACCTGAGTTGCTAGCTTCGACAATGGGCACATTTCAGTGACAGTGGCCAGCATATGTTTATCTTGTAAACGTCCTCAACCGAGCTACTTTCCTGCAATCCACTCATCAGAGAAAGGAGATTTGTGAAAGTCCTCCTATGTACGCAGGACACAAACTGAGAGAGCCTCCCATTGTTGGGTAGACTCATGGCATCATTTCCCTCTCATAACACAATTGCTGAAACAACAGATCACTTTTCACACCTGAAGCATGCAAGATTGTACATGTGCAAAGTTCGAACTGGCTCAGGAAAAGGACACTAAATTATATATTTCTTCGGTCCCCTCATAGAAGTATGCTCTCTGTCTACAATGTTATTAAAGAGGCAGAAGGATGTGGCTTAATTACAGGGCCTCTCACAAGGAGCCAACCAACAATTTGTTAAGGCTGTGAGAGTTCACTAGACTACTGCCCGGGCTGCGAAGACTCTAAGGATCAGAGCCAAGGATAAGTGGCAGCTGCAGCTAAGGGGCTTTTAATGCAAAGAAGCTGAGGGCGCAAGCACCTCCAATTTCTAACATGATGAACGCTACAATTCCTATTTGGAGTCAGTTGCTTGGAATGTCAACACTCCCCCTTCACATTTCCTCCTTGTATAAAATAAGGTTGATTTCAGTGTTGGGGAGATTCAAGAGAATCCACAAGGCCCACTTCAGTACAATCAGTTTGTTCTTTAGGGTAGCTGCTGAGGCTGCATGGGGTTTGGTTCCTTGGCTTGGGTTTCAGGGGACAACCCAGTAATTGGCCTAATAATGGGTTTAGTGTTCTGTTCTCCCTAATTCCTTCTGTAGTGCTTGGGGTCTCAAAGTCTGCAAGTGGCCATCTAAAGGCCAACTGGTCCCTTCTCACCTGAAGCAACAGAGGACAAGAGAGAGTCCGGCACAGAAGGAGGGGATGGAATGTGTGGCTAGATGCCTCCCTGAGACAAAGGAGGTGCCTGGTGAACGAACATTTCCATCAAAGATTCTATACAACAATCCTGATTAAAAACGGGGGCAAGCAACAGACTCCAGATTTTCTGACCATGCAAAACTATTGCCCGGAGACAAGTTCCAACCTTAAACAAAACTCTTTCCCGAAGTCTTCTTAAAACCAAACAATAGTTTAAGCTTAACTAGTGAAGACTGGGCTGCCTTCAGCATTATGCTCTTTTCAAACCGACAAGAGGAACTTGAAAGATGAGTTAGAAAGCTTAGGGAGGAGTTAGTTTATGCGAGTTGGGGAGAGAAGACTCTGAAAAGAAGGGTGAGAGGGGTTGCCTAACTTGAAGGGTGCAATCAGTTGTCATGATGTCAATAAAAGGGTGCTGCTTTTCTTTTCAGGGGGGCGATGAAAATGTTTTAGAATTAATGATGGTAATGGTTGTGAATGGTGACTCATTAAAAAGACGAGTTACATCTCACTAAAGCTCTTAAAAATCACATACGGTTGAAATCAAACCTTATGTAAAGTTTTGTATTGTACTTTCTTTCACTAACAGGTCATAAATCCTTCACATAAATCTTATACGACACCAACGACTTCAGATATAAAGAGAAAAGAAAGAAGAGACCAAAATGAATATCAGAAGAGCCTCTGAAACTCGCTCTTGAATGAAGAATACATAAAGCAGAAGGAAGAAATGATGGCATAAAAGCTGACCAGAATATTTCAACAGGTGGCTTAGAAGATAAAGAGTTATAATGAAATGGGCAGAGATCTCGAGTTAGAACACCAAAAGGGAAGAACATGCTCAGCATTTCTCAAGCTGGAAGAACTGAAGAAAACAAAACAAGCCTCTTGTTACGCACTGTCGGATAAGCACTGGACTGTTTACCATGAGGCTAGTGGTTCAAACCCACCAGCCGCTCCTCTGAAACCCTACACAGGGTAGCTAGAGTCGGAACTGACTTGATTGCCGGCCTTTACCTTGGGCAAAGGGAGGCCTTGTTGGCCCGTTGTTTTAATTTTTTGTAGCTGCAAGGTCGGCAGTTCAAACTTACCAGTCACTCTGAGGGAGAGAGAGGAGGCTATCTGTTTCTCCTAAGGAGCAGCTCTACAGGGTCACTGTGAGTCAGACCCACTAGGCAGCAGTGGGTAGGAATACACAGTTTGTACAAAAAGCACTGACCGACGTTCAACCATTTCAGGAGGTAGCAAGACCTAATGGTACAGAAGGAAGATTCCCAGCTGCACTTTAGGCACTGGCGAGCAACAAGGCTCCAAGGATTGACAGAATACCAATGGAGAATCTTCAACAAACGGATGCTATGTGAGCTATACTCACTCATCTAAGCCAAGAAATTTGGAAGACCAACAGACTGGAAGAGATCCAGATCGGCACCCATTTCAAAGAAAGGTGATCCAACAGAATGTGGAAACTACCATGCTGACATTAGATGGATCTTGGCGGCTAACAGCGGTGAATACCAGAAAGATGCTCACTTGTGTTTCGTTGACTATACAAAGGCACTCGGACTGTGTGGATCATAAATTTGGAGGACACTGTGCAGAGCAGGAATATCAGAACACTTCATTGTGCTCAGTGGGAACGGTACATAGACCAAGAGGCAAGTGTTTGAAAGAACAAGGGTATATGGCATTGTTTAAAATCAGAAAAGGTGTGCATCAGGTTGCATCTTTCTCCCAGAGGTAGCCTCTCTGTATGCTGAACAGATAATCTGGATTACATGCAGAAGAATGCAGCACCAGGATTGAAGAAAGACTCATTAACAAACTGTGGTATGCAGATGATGCAAAAGAGGACTTGAAGCGCTTACTGATAAAGATAAAAAACAAAGCTTTCAGTCTGGATTGCAACTCAACATAAAGAAAACACAAATCCTCACCACTGGGCCAATAAATAACATGATGATAAATGAAGAAAACATCAGAGTTGTTAGGATTTAATTTTACTTGGATCCACAATCAATGCCCATGAAAGCAGCAATCGAATGACATACTAGGCAAATCTGTTGCAAAAGACCTTTATGATAGAGTGAGTGTTCAAAAGCAGAGGTGAGGACTAAGGTGCCCCTGACAAGGCTATGGTATTTTCAGTCACATCCTATGCGTGTGAAAACTGGACAATGAATAAGAAAGACCAGAGAAGAATCAATGCCCTTGAATGATAGTGCTGGTGAAGAATACAGACTATTGCTTGTCGGCGACCAGAAGAACAAACAGATCTGGACTGGGAGAAGCAGAGCCAGAACGCTCCTTGGAAGGGATCATGGTGAGACTGACTGTCTTATGTATTTTGATCAGGAGGGATCAGGAGAGGGACATCATGCTTGGGAAAGCAGAGAGTCAGTAACATAAAGAGGAAGACCCTGACTTGATTGACACAGTGGCTGCGACCACAGCTCAGACATGGCAGCAATGTGTGCACGGTGCAGGGTGGGCGGGATTTCACTCTATTGGATACAGTACTGCTGTGAGTCTGGAGCACCTCGGTGGCATGGAATAGCACAACATCACAAATTAAAAAACAAGTCTTAGTATTATTTTAACTGTTCTTACTTTCATATGCTATATTTCGAGTACCAAGGGGTTTGGAGTTACCTCTCTGGAACACTCCCTGTGCACTGGTCTTTGTGCCGCCTCCTAAGTGCAGTGTGGACATGGGCAACAGAGTGTATATCCAGGGAGTAGGATGGCCACCTGGCTGACCCCCACACCACAGCCACACAGGGGATTCTCCACCTAACTGGGGCTCCGGAGCGCCCAGGGAAGGAAGGGCCCTTCACTGCCCATGTGTTCCCACTGAGGGTACAGACCATGGGTGCTTCTGCAGTAGGCCCTGGATGGGGTCTAGATTGTTGTTGCTGTTAAGTACTGTGGAGTCGATTCCGACTCACAGTGACCCTGCACAGGGTTTCCC